TGTGTGTGTGTGTGTGTGTGTGTGTGTGTGTGTGTGTGTGTGTGTGTGTGTGTGTGGTTGGATTGGTCACAGTGGTTTTTGTGTAGTTTTACTTCTTTGGTATACAGTAATGCAATGCATCAGGGATCACAGAGACACTTTGTATGTCTGTGTGTTTTGGAGTGATCATTTGTAGAAAACGCTTTAGTACTTCTTTTTACAGAACATTAACTTTCTGATGTTCAGTTTGGAGCTCATATCTTTATATAAAAGTGTTTTTGCAATATTATATCTTAAGCTATAAATCTGTATATGGAAAATGAAAGAGCCAACTTCAAACTCTGAAAGGAACATAAGGAGTATGTAGAAACATTAGAATAAGTGTGAAGAAATATGGTTATAGTTAAACACTATTAAAAAGCATAATATGCCACCTTTAACAGTCACTGTTAAAATGTCAATCTAACCATCTGTGTTGTGAAAATAAAAGGACCTGATCAGCATATCTGGCTGCTGACATGATCAACAGTCAGTAATCAGACAGTAGACATGAATTGTATTGATCTCCACAAGGAATCAATTACAGAAAACCACATTTTGTCAGCAGTTCAACAAACAGGGCATGGCTTTCCTCATCAAAGAGGATTTAGTCCAATCTATAATCACTTTGAAACGGGGCTGATGGGAAACTTTTGAATTACATTGGAGAGTAAATGCTTTGTAGTTAAAGCTTTGTCTTTCTTCTACGATGTCTTACATACGCAGTAGAGAGAATATGAGCTTGATATAATATTTAGACTTTATTTCAAAAGTTAAATCATCATGCAGATGGAAATGTTCTATTAGCCCAAATCTGGCATATGTCATCATCTTTTCTTTTTGAGATGAATGTACTGTATTTTACGCATTGGTTCTTGTTTAATAAAGACATCAAATAAATATTCAGTATGGAGTTTACTTAGCAAGGGCAAACAGACTACATCTTCAAAACTCACAAGCTGCAAAGCCAGAGGTTTGACATTAGAATAGTTTTGACAATTATTTCATTTATAGTGGCCTAACATCGTAAAGTTGTATACGAAAATTCATATTGTGGTGTTTAGATGCCATACTTTATTCTGATTGGTTTTGATTTAAAAGGATTCCTGTGAACACAGATGTTGATTTTCATGTGATGCTCGCTCTTCAGCAGAGTTTCCAGACTGTGACCCCCCTCCCCCCCCTCTCCCCCGCTCTGAGTGTATGCGTTGACTGAAGGGAGCTTAATTTGAATTCATTTATTTCAATCTTTGCTAGCATGTAAATGAGGCAGGAGACAAAGTCAGTGAATAAACTTTTAATAACCATGAATGACGAGTGTTTTTATGCTAACAAGCTGCTGCTGCACAATGACGAGCAGAGCGGGCTGTTTCCGCTGGTTGCCTAGCAACACTCGCTGAGGCAGAGGACTTAAAAAGTGCAGACATTGGGTTGATTTCTCTCTGATGAAGTTCAGTCTTTTACATGTACTCTTTTTTTCCTATTTCATATTCTCTCCTTTAAGCAAAGACCAAATCCTCAGCAATTATGTTACTTGGTTACTTGGAGCACAAGTTGTTGAGAAGGAACATTTTCCAGGGTAAAAAGAGAATTTGGATCTCCTGAAGTTGGTTTAAATTAGGAACTTAGTAGTCAGTACATTACCAACAGCAAATGGTGGTCTGATGCCACATGTTTAGATATAGACAGGAGTAACGGCACAGAAGCTGAACAATGTACGACTGAGGACGGGCGCAGCAGCAAAACATATCTAAGCCACATACCAAAAGGCCTTCCTAAAACATCAATGGCAATATAAATGTACAATGTATAACGAATAATTTAACCGCTTAACCTTGGCATCAGACAGCCTTTCGGGGAACTGAAGCCGGTATAGCTTCACAAAGTGATATACTGACATCACTAAGACTTGCGCTTATATTAGCTAGCGCTCCAACTCATTGTACGTGATAGGCTAAAGGGCGGGACATCTCTGAGTGGTTGACCAATCACAACAGAGCCGGCCAGCTAACCAATCAGAGCAGACTGGGCTCTGGTTTCAGACAGAGGGTGAAAAGAGGTGCTGCAACACAGGCAGTATGAGAAAAATAAAGAGCTTTTTGAACATTAAAGCATGGAGACATGTCCCAGAAGAGACACAAAGTATTACTATGAACCTGAAAAGGAGAATAATAGGGCCCCTTTAAAACAAAATTCTAATTTATTTTAGATGGCCACAAACGTTTACTTTTATAGCCCCGGCGGCAATTGCATTTTCATTAGAACATGCTGTTGCCAGTAGCAACCTCTATTGATTTCACGACTGCTGTTCGTGATGAAACTGGTGCCACTGGTACGGCTCTCTTTAACGTCACGACTGGAACAGCCACACTCATGCCACTGGTGGAATTAAATCTCACTCTTATGGATGATGGAGAGTTCACTGAATACACACCAACACGAAAACACACCCACACACACACATTAAAGTCTTCTTCCATCGGTGTACCAATGGCTAGCAGATGTCCTGGTTGGTTTCTGGATGATGTCAGCCTCAGTGTAAGGACACACACACACACACACACACACACACACACACACACACACACACACACACACACACACACACACACACACACACACACACACACACACACACACACACACACACACACGAATAGTTCTTCTTTCCCTTTCACCGTCTCGCTTTCTCTTAGTTACTCGTAGGTTTTGTAAAATTAATGTTAGGGTTTTTTCATTATTCTAGTTGCGTGTAAATTAAATTTAATTTTAGTTGTCAACCGGAAAACCAGTTTAGGTCGTGGGGTGTGCGGAAGTCTTTTGTACAGACTTTCGTTAGGTCTTCCCGAGTCTGACGAGATTACGGGTCCTCTCCCTTCTAATTCCAGGAGTTTAGGACGTTTCATTTTCGAATACAGACGACTGGTCTGGAGTCCAGAAGTTGACAAACCGTCACGACTGGAGGTTTTGTGTTACACTTTTTACGTCAACCCGTACCAGCTTAAACTAACTGAACACATGTTAGACTGATCACGAAAAGGGAATTAAATTTCTGATGAGAGTGACAAAAAATGTACAGTAAAATTAACAATCACAGTTGTTGTCGTTACACGTATTATATACAGAATGAATAGTGGAGACGGTCGTCAGGTGCGACAATGAGTACGTCGTAACATTTCGTCTCGAGATGGTCAAGACGAGCCAAGTTAATCCTCGATATTGTATTACAAATACGTATGTCGACGACAAGTATAATTGAAGGGTTTTGTGTACATACGTGATAGGTATATAAAGACAAAATACACTTTCCGACCGTAACCCAAAATTAGCAAGTACGTTTGATTTTTTTTTTAAGTGAATTACATTGAAAGCATAAAAAGACGTTTACAAACATCCATTTATATAAATGCGACTTCTTCGTCCTATTTACTCTTCCAAACTTTTTATTTTTGTGGTTGTAAAATACTTTTGGTTACTTGAAATTCAGTGTACCTCATTTGCATATACTTGAGTGTTCCTCAAACATCAAATAGCCAAAACCAAAACCAACCCTTTTTTTCCAACACATCCTTAGCACAGCCCCCCAAATTTTCCACCTTAGACAATTATAATCGTCAGAAGAAACATTACCCTAGTCTAAAACGTAAGATCTCTCCTGGTTTGTAGACGGGGTCTCTTTTTTTTCCTACAACCAATTAAAAACACTAATACTCTTTTCGTCTGCAAAAATATATTGTACTCTTCGGACTAACCCGAGGGTTTCTGTTTGCTACTATTTACCTATATAATATTTGGTTATACAACTCATGGTCGATACTAGAGAGAGAGTTTGTGTGTATGTTATAGGTTATTATTATATAATTTTAATTTTTCTTGTTTTGTCTATGTTGACTAGTTTATCAGATTATGTCAATAACCCAGACACTTCCATAAATGCATTCTTGACAAGTACGTACAAAACTTATGGACATAGAACGAGAAAAAAGATAACGAGAGTGTGTGTGTGTGTGTAGTGTGGAAACTAGGTCGTACACAAAACAGGTAAAGTCTCTACAAGTGGTATATATGTGTATAAGTCCTATATAAACATGTCACTCGTGTGTCGTTCACTAACGTAGTCGTATACAAATTGGGTGGTGTGTTGACTTATTGCCCTGGTAACTTAACTGAAACTGTGGTACATCTCCGTCTTTCTTAATTAGAATTATATTTTTGTTTCATTTAGGAGTCTGTCCGCTTTTGACTTAGCCAAACTGTTGTCAGAGTGGTTGACGGGAGTGATTCGGTCACCACCACGGTNACGTCATGTTACAATTATTTTGCTGCTTGCTACAAAAGGAAAACTTGCGCGGCTCTCATGTCAGGGGTACTTGAGTGGCTCTGAGTCTGCATGTACAGCAAACAACTATTTCAGATGACTTTGCCGGTGTTACACCATATGAGAAAGGTTCAAAACGGCATAAAGGAGCTGGTGTATAGCTGTTCTCAGTTTTATTTTTATAATGTTGTTTAAAAGATGTCCACTACTTTGCTGCTATTTGCACAAAAAAGGTTTTAATTGTGGAATAAAAAGTTAAATTACCTATTTGGTCAAGTATGTTAATTCCCTAATGGGATAATGAAGCTTCCTATAGTTGAATGTAATACGTTTAATCTCTTGGATCCCTTCTAGACACCACTCTTCTTCATTCACAGATGAACCCCCTTATTTGAGGGTAAGCAACCTGCATTATCATGACATGTTGGATCATGACTTAAGGTATGATGAGTAATATAACCTGACTAAAATCCTTCATCCTGTTAAATATAGTTAAAAAAACGCAATATATATCGCAGGGGAAAAAAATATCGCAATGTTAGTTTTTTTCAATATCGTGCAGCCCTACTCCGTACTACTTTGATCATTTGCTCTGCTAATAATCAATCAGATTGATCCAGAGAAGAGGAAACTTTGAAGGCATTCTTCTCAAAATGATGACTTGGTGTTTATTTATTAACATTGTCCTTTTGGCCTCCAGGTTCGTCTGGTGCAGAAGAAAGACACTGGTCATGTTTATGCAATGAAGATCCTCCGCAAAGCGGACATGCTGGAGAAGGAACAGGTGAGGCAGAACTCTGTGTGACAGGCTGCTGCTGCTGCTGCTGCTGCTGCTGCTGCTGCTGCTGCTGCTGCTGCATCAGACGACATATTTGACCCTGTGAGTGTCCCTCTCTGTCTTCAGGTTGGTCATATTCGTGCTGAGAGGGACATTCTGGTAGAGGCAGACAGCCTGTGGGTGGTGAAGATGTTCTACAGCTTCCAGGATAAGATGAACCTCTACCTCATCATGGAGTTCCTGCCTGGAGGTATGACCCCTTGACTCAGATCACGGACATTGCTAACACAAAAGTGACTTCCAACCAGGTTAGATCGTCAACGTCTAATCATTATTTTTAACTCATCGTTTGATGAATTTTCCAACTGGAGGAACTAATGTTAGTTTCCACTCCACCATGAAGATAAAGTACAATTTAGATGGACTAAAAAACAATCTGAAAAACTAAACAGTGATTCTGGGCCCTTTCCTCAAGTAGGAATGTCAGAAGAGCCAATACTCCCATACCAAGTTGATCTCACTGAAAATACGAAGTTACTCTTTTCTTTACAGTATCGCAGGTACTGGGGATATACCTCAAATGAAAACTGCCAGGATTGACCCTGATATTGCTACGTTGTCAACAACAGATCTGTGTTTTAATTGGCACGAGTAGAACTAGTTAATAATAATAATTCCTTATATTTATTATAGCGCTTTTTCCATGAACCAAAGCGATTTACAGATACACATCACACATACATATCATACATATATGTAATGGTCATGTACTGTGGACAATACCCACAGGAGCAATTCAGGTGAAGTGTCTTGCCCAAGGACATAACGGCTTTGCAGCTTTAATGTTAGCTGTTAGCAGCCAGTTGGCAGCATCCCAGTCCTGCTTGACTAAATACCAGAGCTGACAGCTAATGTTAACAGCGGCTTCATTGAGTTCCATTACGATGTAAGCTATATTTAGTGAAAAATAGTATTTGGCCAACATGAATTATACAATATTCTGTTTCAAATGTAGTTTTTGATGAGAACTTGAATAAATCCAGTTATATTTTCACAGCAATATAATATAACCAGGGGTGCACATAACTGATACGCAGGTAGGCATGCGCGACAAAAATCTGAAATGCATACCGTCACTTGTGTCACTAAGCGCCTTTGCGTACCGACGTACTTGTGAAGCTTTTCCAGAGTCAGACTCCGTGTGCACGGGCGGGGCTGCTGCTTTTGTGCCAAAACTACGCCAACCGGCTGCGGAGGGAGACTCCCCTTTGCACATTCTCGGTGGATTTTACAGAAACATAAAATTACAGGAAAATAATGAAAAGACAAGATAGAATGTGAAATAGAATGAATTAAGATGCAACAAAAAATAAAATGAAACAATCAAATGAAATACCATAAAATGTAAGAACCAGGAGGACGAACATAGGGAATAATCTGAAACCAGCTCTAGTAAAAGCATAGTTAAAAAAAGGAAGGTCTTGAGCGCACCCTTAAAAGTAAAAACTTAAGAATTTTGCACACTCCGGTCACCATTAACAGACCTGCACCCTGGGAGCGTAGTGTTCTAGAGGGGCAGTAGTGGATTCAAACCTCTGTTTTAGTGATTTGAAAGTAAGAAGAAGTATTTTAAAATCAATTCTGTCCTTTTCTGGAAACCACTGCAGAGCTGCTAAAATTGGAGTGCTATGGTCCTTTTTTCTTAACAGTAGGGATGCACCAATATAAAAAAACGTCCGCCGATGTTTGGAGTAACAATTTTGCCGATACCGATGTTTTACTGTATATACCTTATTTACGGATGGTGGAAAAAGGCCAATGCCGATGTCTCACCGATGTATCGGTGCATCCCTTTATATATACAGTCTATGGTGCATCCCTAGGCTGCAGCATTTTGTAACAGTTGAAGATTTTGGATGGATGTGGTGGACAGCTTGATAATAGGGGATTGCTGTAATCCAGCCTATATGTAATAAAAGCATTGATTAGCATGTTTTTTAAACATATACGTCCAGTGTTAAAGTGTGGAGTGAGTCAGACCGTAGGGTCTGTCCGTTGTGTCCATGCCTCTGACATCCTGCTGTGTGTGCTGTTGTTCTGCAGGAGACATGATGACCCTGCTGATGAAGAAGGACACTCTGACAGAAGAGGCCACTCAGTTCTACATCGCTGAGACGGTGCTGGCCATCGACTCCATCCACCAGCTGGGCTTCATCCACAGAGACATTAAACCAGACAACCTGCTGCTGGACTCCAGGGTGAGGCCTTCCATCATCATCATACACCATATTCAGCTTTTTATTACACTTACTTTACAGCAGTTTCCCATGAGTTGGTGTCGTGAACTTAAGGGCATTCCAAACCCTTTATGAAAGTAGGGATGGGTACCGAGCCCCGGTATTAAACGGGCCCCGGGGCTGAATTATTAAAGACCGTGGTACCGTTAAGCTCCGACGTTAACAGTCTTTTTATCGGTACTGAGACATGTAGAAAATATATGTATATGTATTGTTGCTACACAAACATTATATTGCAGTTTTAGTGTCGCCAACTTCGTTTCTAACATGCAAAAAGCGTGCAAAATGCGTCTTTTTAGTCATTTTCGATCTTTTCAATCCAGGCGAGAGATCTCTCTCCCACGCCTGTGTGCGAGGGGGCGGGGCAGTTTACACACACGCAGCTGCTACATGCAGCAACACACACACACTGCGGAGATGGCGGAGAGAACGCGCTCCGAGGTGTGGTTAAACTTTACCTGTCTCGATGTGGACAGTGCTCGTTGCCAAAAGTGCAATAAGAGTTTAGCATGTAAGGGCGGTAACGCGAGCAATTTGTCTAAACATTTAGCAAAAGTGCACCACATTCAGACGGAGGAATGCACCGGGTTCCACTGTCTTTCTAGTAGCTCTGTTGCCCCGTCCACGAGTAACGTTTCCACGTCCGGTGTTATGTATGCTAGCAGCAACACACAGAGTTAACTCAATTATACAAACATGGGTTAATGATTAGAGGTAACTGAGTTACTCTTTATTTTGTTAAAGTTTCAGCTATTCTGTTTACAGTTCTGTCATCAGATTATTTATAAAGAGTAACTCAGTTACCTCTAATCATTAACCCATGTTTGTATAATTNGTGTGCCCTTGGCAAGTTTGTGCACAGATGGAAGGCTGACAGGCAGGTAGGTCATCCAGTTACTTTAGCCGAGCCGGCTCAGATGATTGGTCGTGCTTTTTACAGTATTACGGCTTCCACAGATGACAATTTTTTATGGATTTTTGTCAAAGCACTTAAGATATTCATTGCTATCGGGATGTTAAGAGCATTCCATGGAATATAACAAAAAGTGTATCTCGAGCCGGTTTCTCAAACTTACCTACCCCACCTTTAAGTCATTTCAAAACAATTTTCTGAGGCAAGACATTGGTTTATTTAGTATGTAGGATCATGCTCACCCCGTCTGTGTTGTTTTTTCATTAATGTCCTCCGTGCTGCACATTAACCCTTACTTAACTAACACTACCTCTGGATGGTAGAGACTCCAGCAGTTGACAGTGTCTCTGTGTACTCTTATCTACCACTGTATTTGTGGATCATATTGGGTCAGGGAAAATGTAAAACCAGAAGCTATTTTACAAAGTGTTTTATGTGTTGTTATCGCCTTTATTCCTGCAGGGAGAGCTGAGCGTTTGGCACACCGGCATCCACCTGACAGCTGACTTTGGGGATGTGAACCAGAGTCTGCAGGACCACACTGTGGGTAAGTTCTGCAAATGCATTTTCTATATTAACACAGCTGGAATCACTTTTCTGTGGGTGGATCTATTTCATAAGTCTGGCATCAACAGTAAGTGTTAAAGGAGTTAAGTCTAATTTAATATAGTATAAGTTTGATACCGAGAATAATAACTTGGGAGTGGGGGTGCGCCTCGCTTGTTGGTAATACAATCTGCAGAAACTTCCTTTGTTTGTAGCACAGGTGCATTCTTTCCATTTCGTTTTTCACTGACAACAAAAACAAACTGTAAGCGACTCCAAAAACCATTGCCCTTCCAGTGTGACAACAATTCAGATTTTCTGACCTATATACCTGATCCTAGGATATTCCCACAGTGACACCCAATATGCACACAGGGAATAGCACAGTGAGCGCAGGAACACTGACAGTTTCCTGACAGTCATCGTCCTGTTGTTAGTGTGTCTGCCTCCATGCTTCCTACTCTGTACTGTGGTGCGAATGACTACGGTTAACCATCAAAATCAAACAGCTTGTGGCACGATAAAGGGAATTGAGGAGCTAAATGAAAAATGCTCCAGCAGTTCTCTGATCACTGCAACTGTCTCTTCAGTATATGCTAGAAACTCCAGTTTCTGTTCTGACTTGGCACTAAGGTAACTAACAGTGAAGAAGAAGTACAGGGGATTATTTTCTAATGTAACACTCACCATCTCTTTTGTGTCTGCGGAAGGACGACCACATGGCACTGAACCTCTTGAGGGCCCCCGGTCGTCCAGCGTCATCTTCACCTGACGGGATGGCAGCTGCAGAAAGAGAAGCAGAAGCAGCTCAATAATAACATTAGAACAACATTCACTTCCTCTGAGCGTTTAAAGGCCAAGCCTCGTAATATTAATGTTTTTATTTCTGCTCAGGTTGGAGTAAAGCGACCTGAGTTCAAATGATGCAGCCAGCATCTTGATCAAACATGGAGTAGTGGATTTTGCTGCAGAAATAAGAATTTCCGATGTTTATATTGGTCATCAGACTCAAACAGGTGCTCTCCTCTTCAAGTCGTTAAGACTTATGAGACGTATTTGACTATCCAATGCAACATGTTTAAAGAAAATATACTCACAGTCAAAAGAAAATAGAATGATTGAGAATGGAAACACTGCTGTACCTATTGTTTCTCAGAAACATCAATGATGATATTACCTTTGGGCTGCTCACCCAGGAAAAGGTTGGTTAAAAACACATTTTATCACGTAACTTAACAGATCTTCCACAGACTACCTCTGACATTTAAAAACCATGCTTGCTAAATACTGTACATGCATCATAACAAAATAATAATGTAATGTTCTCTTGGTTTCAACTTGTACTTTCAACCAAAGAGGGGTGTAACACACATGTAGGGTTTAGGAAGAGACAGCTGATAAATCCAGCACTCCTCCTCTGTAATATGAGTTTGTTTTCCATCACAAATGAAGAGAATCAATGAACAAGATGTATAAGGTGCAACATAACATTGAACCACTTCCTACGTTAAAATAAGAGTTTATTTATCTGCTAAAGCCCCTCTTACCTGTGGGCTCTATCCTGGGCCACATCCTCTTTTTACTGTACATACTGCCCCTAGGTTCAATTCTCACTAAACACAATATTCCCTTCCACTGCTACGCCGACGATGTACAGATCTATTTGCCTCCCAAAGCAAATGTCAAACACTCACTACAGCAGTTGATGGACTGCTTAATAGAGATAAAATCCTGGCTGAGCCAAAACTTCCTCAACCTGAACGAGAGCAAGACAGAGGTCATCTTTTTTGGACCCCAACCTCCAGCCTCTCCGGTTGATATTCTGGGCTCCCTCAATAAAAACATCCTCCCCTCTGTCATGAACCTTGGACTGACCTTCAATAGCGCTTTTACATTCGACAAGCAGGTCAGCACCGTAGTCAAGACCTGCTTTTTTTAAATATGACTATTGGCCAAGACCAAGTCGTTTTGATCTTTTAAAGACTTAGAAAGGGTTATTAACGCCTTTGTTACCTCGAGACTGGATTACTGCAACGCTCTGTATGTGGGTACGGACCAGGCGGCAATTACAATTTAATTTATTTTAAACGTCTTTTATTTGTTTTGAAAGCACTAAATGGGCTGGCTCCGGCTTATTTAGCAGAACTCATCCATCGCTACCCCCCAGCCAGAGCCTTAACCTCCTAAGGCCCAAGCTGTTTTTTTACATGCATTTTTTATTTCTCTTTGCTATTTGGGCTTATTGGACCCTAATTAGAATACAAACTAAGAATCATCTTTTGATATGATGTACTTTTAGAGAAAAATGATGTCAACATATGTGGATTCTTGGTCCGAATTTCCATAAAACCCAATTAAGTCACCATTGAGNAAGCCGTAATACTGTAAAAAGCACGACCAATCATCTGAGCCGGCCCGACTAAAATAACTGGATGGCCTACCTGCCTGTCAGCCTTCCATCTGTGCACAAACTTATCTCGTGCCCTCATTGGTCATGTGCGCGTTCGTGTGTGTTGGAGGATGGGCTCTGTAAGGAAGTAGCAGATTTTTTCCGGCTGTGTATTTTCAAATTCTAGCGCACTCGAGCTGGTTTCTCCAAAATGACCTACCCCACCTTTAATTTATAAAAAAATGTATTGTGAAAAGAATAGTGCGCTCCATTGCGTATCAACGAATGCGAATATGGCGACAGCAACGTAACTTAAAATGACCGCAGCACTGATCAAGGTTTTCTGTTTTTCTTTTCCATGAACCAGTCTTTAAACACTGCCACTGGTCGGACTTCTTTCTGTGGATTCATATGACTGCAGAATTAAGTATTCAACTAAGCCGTCTAATAATAAAAACTAATAAACATTCTACTCTAGCTATTTTGAAACTCTCAGACATTAACTATTTTATTTAGTTTTGCAGCTACTTATCTAGCACAAACACACACTACATGGAAAGCTGGGTTATGTACTGTAACCCAGCTTCTATGAGTATAGGTGCAGCGAAGCCTATACGGCCAGGCAGGTTCGTACTGTGCATACTTTGAGGCAGACTCAGAGACAAGCTTTTTGAAATGATCATGTAGAAATCAGAGTTGTTTGTAAAGCTCCTGCTGCTCAGATAAAGCATGAACCATACAGCCACAAAATGATGGGAAACAGCCAGTGTGAAATAAACCTGATTTATCATTTAATCACCACCAATCATTATACATAACATGCACTGGGTTCCTACCTTAAAGTGTTGTTTTTAGCCTGATTCAAGTTAAAAAAAAAAGCCACATAAACTAAGCAAAATACTTCAGGGATGAGGCGCATCATTCATTGACCATGATGGTTTCAACATTCATGTCAACAGGACATAAAAATAGAAACAAGAATAAAATAAAAACATTCTTTAGTGGCAATTTTTGTCAACATCTTCTAGTTTTTTATTCAGACACCCTGTCTATATACAAATCTTATCAATCAAATGAACGTGTTTTTCCGACTGGACAAAGCTATATATCATCCTAAATAAAAACATAAATATACAACGTAACCTTCAAATGTTAACATCTGTATGACAATATTGAATGTGTATCTTAGTTTGTGCAGTTTACTAGGACATTTTTGTACGGAACTTTTTGTAAACAGCGTGTTTCATGACGGATGCAAACAGCCAGAGGTGGAGGAAGATATGTTACTTGAGTAAGAATAGCAATACCACAGTGTTCAAAAGTCCTGCATTCAAAGTCTCAAGTAAAAGTAACACCATCGAAATATATTTAAAGCTCGTCAAGTAAAAGTAATCACTATGCAGTTTTGCTAATTTCAGAGTCATATTTTTTTAAACTATTGTATTTGAGTTATTGATGGGTTCATGTTTTCACCACTTTAATGTTGCATCTGGTGAAGCTCATTTGAATGACTTGATTTACTGCTGGGTAGCTTAACCTATAATAATACATCATCATTTATTAGTGTAATTCGATCATGTGTTGATATTTTCATATGCAAAGTAGCTGCTGAAAAATCAAAGTAGAGGAGTAAAAGTTACTTTGCAAGTACAAGTACCAAAATTGTACTCAAGTTCAGTACTTGAGTAAATGTACTTAGTTACATTCCACCACTGCTATACATATAGAGTCTTAATGATAGCAGAAACGATCAGAACAGGAAGTAGGCTGTGTAGAAGCTTTACTCAGAGACCAATCACAGCACACTTTCCTCTCCTCTCTTCGAGTAGATGATATCTGGAAATATATTTCCCATAGACGTTTTGTATTGAATGACTCAATATGCTCCGTCACTAATTGTGCTTGTCTTGATGTAATATACAGCTTTTCTTCATATAAGATTGTACTTGCAGGCTTGGGGAATAACTCACTACATGAAATGGGATTACGTAATCAGACACAAAAACGTGACTGAATATGCTTAATGAAAGGCAGGTTGAATAAAATCTCTCAGCAGAGGGCACGTTTTTCAAACTAAATGTCTTAGTTTCTTCTTTCCTAAGGTTACATTATTCAGACATGAGGTAATCCAAAAGCAACGTAAAGTAATCAGGTTACATAACGTTATATATTGATACTCAGATTATTTTACAGATGACTCTTTATGTTCTTTTATTAAAGACTGGGCTGTGTCTGAAGTTATTTCCTGTAGAACAGACACTCGTGTTTAACAGTGACCAGTAACTAGAGAATTCAGATGACCTCAGAATGAATCTTTGCATCATCACTGACTGCATGAAGACCATTTCTGCCTCTAATGAATGTGAAATTCATTTTTCTACACAAATGGGATAATTACCACAGAGCAAAACAAAATCAAATGTTGGTCAGTAAATATGGTTTTCCACAAATAAAATAAGGAGTTGTTTTAGACACAGCAAGAAGTGTTGATATCCTCCGGGGTCTGCTATTGGCTGAGTGATCACACTGTAGAGATTATTTTACAACACTGTAGCCTACATATCTTAATCAGCATTCATTGATTAAGCATTGCCCTCCTAAACGCCTACTTTGGGACAGTAAAAAACTTGTGTTAAAGGATCGGACATGCTGTAGGTGTGAACATTGTACATTTTTAGGCTTAGCTCAAAATAACTTTAATCACCTACATACAAAGTATATATCAATGACATGATTATGTAGGGAAGATGTTTGAGTCAGGAACGATACAGATTCCTCTTGCTGGGTATAATAACTCCCCGTCCCCACCAGTTGAGTTGGAAGTTAAAACCTTTATGCATCATGAGTTTGCCTCTCTAATATTCCCTCGTAGGGTGCTCCAAAGTGTGCGACTGCAGTGGATAAAACCCATTTTATTTTGGCGGACTTTAGCAATTATTTTAAATCCTGCTGCTGAGGACCATAGGGCTCGTATGTATGACAAGCAAGTCATCTCAGGGTTCTGAAGAACAGAGTGGACACAGCTGAACAGGCTTTCATTCCAGCAAAACCTCCCATCACAAAACAAAGACGAGATAGGTCTACGTCAGGTGGAACAGCCTCCCTCTTGCAGACCCCTGTTCAGTTCCTCTGCCAGCTCCCTGCCTCCAACATGTTCTCTCCCTGGAAGCACCTTAACGTTGAGTGGCAGATAAGCACAAGTTGTTCACAGCACGCATTGCAGATTAACTATCAACAAAATGGTTGCTGCTCTATAGTTTTTACCTATTATTTTTTTCCTCAGCTGAGTATTAGCTACCACACAACACTCAATTTGAAGGAACAGGTTTTTCAACTGGAGGCAAACCACGCCTTCTGACCATCATTAAACACCAGCTAACTGAGTATTCGTGCATGTCCTGTGAGTGTGGGGGGAGTGGCAGCAGCAGGCCTCACACACACAAAGCTGCCAGCCTGAGAAGAAAAACCCCACTGCTGTGCTTTTATTTTAGACAAAAAGAGAGGAATGCAGCAGCCAACACGTGAACAGGCCGGCAGTGAAGGAGACTGCACAAAGCAGGAGAGACGTCTGGGCCTGGAGGCAAACATTTACTCTGTAAACAACTCTATTAACAGAAGGAGAGGTTCCATCTACAGAGAGGATACATATAACATCACTTTATCCAACATTCAGCATAGCGGATATATAGAGATCAGCCTATGGCTCCTTAAAGGCTTTCAAAATATGACTTTATTATAGTATTCATTTCATTCTAACAACCACATGGTTATATTACACTTCATAAGCACTTTCTATGAGCATCCATACAGACTGGTTGACAGTTATGGCAGTTAGACGATTAAATCAAACAGTTAATGCTCTTTTTTCATTTTAATTGTTTGCCTTAGTTATCATTTAGTCCAGGGGTCTGCAACCTTTTTGACCAAAAGAGCAATTTTGCCCCCTTTTCCACCAATATCTTTTGTCTGGAGCCGCAAAACATATTTGATAGCTTGATAGCTTATAAAGTTGTATTTATTGTTACATCATAGACAGAAACTACAGATTTTTTTGCATTTATTATGTATTACATTATAGAAAACTGTTTACCTCTAATAATAAACAAAGAACTCTTATAAGGAGAATTTAAAAAATACACAGGTCTACTTTAAAATAAATCATCACAGCACTTGGGGAGTCCTCTGCACATTTAAAGAAAATTAATATAATTAAAATGGGCCCACTTTGAAATAAATAAAACATATAGCTGCACCCTAAAACGAGTTAACTGACTGAATTATGACTGAAGATCGTCAGCTGTCTTCCTCTTCCGTGTTTTTCCTCCAATACGTAAGGCTGAGAACTTTGCTACGTAAACCAGCATCGTTTGCTGTGAAAGCAGATAACTCTGTCCACGCAATGTGTTCCTCCCATACTTTTCTTTGATTTATCCATAGTTCGCTCATCGAGCCGGGGGTCAGGTTATTCGCCTGCAAGAAAAGGCGCTGGTGCGGGACCTTAGCAGGATGTGACGCATACTTTAGCTGACCTAATTAAAACCATTTAAAAAATAATAATTTCTGTCACAGTATCACCTCAAAATACAAGATACGAAACATTTTCAACCATGCAACAAAATATAAATAGTCCTACAAATATTTGTATTTTATTTCCTTCTTATTTTTGTCTAAGCTCAAGGGAGCCAGAGCAGAGGCCGCGGGTTGCCGACCCCTGATTTAGACCAACATGTTGGATGTTATGACTTAAGTTGGAGAGATAATTTAAAGTGATAGATAACACTGCTTTCATGGCTGTAAGTGGAAGAGTAGTGTTTCTTCCCTTCATTGAAGATAAACTATAGTTCTTTATTGTCTTGTTTTAAGGTGTTTTTGTTCATTTCCGTCAATCATAACCTTTCTAATCTCCACAGCAGGGAGTGAACCGTCATAGCGTGCAGTGGTACATGGCGCTGCAAAGCTCTCCATCTGGATCCCAGTAGTACCCTGCATGCTGAAGCACAATGTCTTTCTTCATTCTGTGCAGGGTTCAAAGACTCGGAGCCTCCAGAGCTGCCGGGCCCAGTGGCTGAAAACGCGTCCCGGCAGCACCGCTACGTCAGTGGGCAGTACTTCTTCGAGTACCTGGTGGTGGTCAGCCTCAAGAAGACCCAAGACGGCAGCAGCTACGAACCACAGATCACCTACCAGTTCCCCAAGGTCAGTCTGAGGGTGGAACACAGAGGCCTGATGAGTTTATGATGATACAAGTAAAGCATTTTCATTTCAATGTAATTATCATCTGATGAGTTAAGTATTTACCCAGTTCTCTCAAGTATGGAAGATGGTTGAAAATTAGATGGAAAATGTCCTTGTGTCCCATGCAAAGGACATAGTTTAAAATATTGATTATCAAAATTAACATTCATATTATGATTAAAATGTAATATGATATAGTACAGAGTTTCATAAAATAAAAACAACATTTTCAGAAACAATATCTAATAAAAATCAATCACTTAACTCCGTAGAGTTTATTTGAATGTGTGCTTTGCTTCTTCTCATGCAAAATGTTGTCATTTTGACCTGTGGTTCATGATTGTTCAGCCCACATAGTTTTCACAGTGGTCAGCATCATAATTCATCTCACATAAATCATGCCGACAGGAGGTCTGTTACTATGGTATATTGTAGGCAGAGTGGAGATATTGAGTAGTTTGTAAACTATCAGTGCAACAAAGAAAGCATATTATATGTTAAAGAACAGAGGTGTGGTTGTGTACTTTCAGAAAGATGGGATGGCTAAATACCAGAAGGAGGAGGAGGAGAAGACGCTGAAGGCCATCACTCTCTTCTGTTTCCCAGAGGGCATCAACTGGGCTCCTCTGACAGAATACCCCAGGTACAGCTTCCTCCCCCCCCGGCTACGTTTTTTCACCGTGATCACATGTATCCATGTTTCAGGTCATTGTTCATGGTTGCTCTCTGTGTGTTCCAGTGAGACGTTCTCCTTCGTTCTGACGGAGATTGACGGCAGCAGGAGGAATGGATACTGCAGGAGGTTACTGGTCAGTGAGCCAGTGAAGGTTTCTCTCCTGTGTCTCCATCTTCTGTTTCTCATTCTCTAGTGTTCACTAAATATCCTCTGCTTCCACTCGCAGCCTGGAGGGAGAGGAGCCCGCCCCCCGGAGGCTTACTGCATCATCAGCACCCTGGCTTGTTTTGGCCTCTTCTCCAAGGTGCGTTCAAATGAACATTTATAAGCTGGGAAATCTTTCAAGTGTGCTTCTCTTTAGAAATTCTGACTTTCCAAAATATATATAATAAAAGCTGTCATCCACAAAACTACAGGAAACTTGGTGTATTGTACTCGTGGCCTAGCCTTTTCCTTCTGAATAGTGTGTTTTCAGTGTTCTGCCCTTCATCAACAGTTGCATATAGTGACAGCTTCGGTACTTGTTATTAAGACTTTGGGATATGGCAACTTGCCAAACTACGTAGTGGAATCATCACCAACGTATTCATTTACAAGTTGAAGTAAAAATATAACCACCATGACAAGTCATAATGGAGACATGTGAAATGGGACAACCAGATAAGCTATATATATACACAGTGTGTATATATATATATATACATACACAGCATATATGATATGAATACATACTGTACCTACTAAAATTGGAGAGAGTTAATTAATGAAACGTTACAAGCCAAAAACAACTAGTTTAACCTTAAAGGTGGGGTATGTAATTTATTTTAGAAACATTTTTTTTTATATTCCATGGAATGCTCTTAACATCCCGATAGCAATGAATATCTTAAGTGCTTTGACAAAAAAATCGATAAAAAAATGTCATCTGTGGAAGCCGTAGTACTGTAAAAAGCACGACCAATCATCTGAGCCGGCCCGGCTAAAATAACTGGATGGCCCACCTGCCTGTCAGCCTTCCATCTGTGCACAAACTTATCTCATGCCCTCATTGGTCATGTGCGTGTTCGTGTGTGTTGGAGGAGGGGCTCTGTAAGGAAGTGGCAGATTTTCTCCGGTTGTGTATTTTCAAATTCTACCAAAAACAGGTATACAATACTATATGACAGTAAAAAAAAGTTGTTATTAATAAACAAGAATACAGTTTGAAAGGGGAGTGATTTGTAAAATATCCATAAAGAAAAATAAAATCTGCTTCCAGTTCTGTTTCATATGGGTGTTGAGAGATGTATCCACAGATCTCCTAATGTTGCTCTCAAAGTGCATCAGATTGACGCTTTTAACATAGAAAAGCAACATTCCGACAGTACCTTATGTCTACGTACGGTCGCGAACGAGGTGGTTTTGGCAAAATATAGTGAGCATTTAGGATGATATGTCGGTCGTGTGTGGGTCTAGACACCATCAAAGTACCCACCACAACACACGCGACCACACACCAACAACACCCACACACAACAACACACACACCACACACACGCACACTCCCACCACACACTGTGTGTCGTAGTGATGTGATGATGTAGTCGTGCTGTGTGTCGTCGATCGTGTGTGCTAGTAGTCGTAGTGCTTCGTGTCGATGTCGTGTGTGTCGTGATGTACGTGTGTGTGTCATTGTCGTGTCGCTGTGCTGTGATCGTGTCAGACACACACACCACCACCACACACACACACAATATCTATGTGTCTTTTTATTTATTTCTTTGTCTACCCTCTTCGCTGTGTGCTGCTGGGTGTGGTGTGTGGTCGTGCTCGTAGATGTGGGTGATGTTGTAGTGTACGTGTCGGTGGGTGTGTGTGTTGTGTTGGTACTTTACGCTCTGTGTCGTCGTAGACCCGAAGTGGCTCCTATATTAGACAAAAAACGCGGATATCGGGAGATATGTTCACTGTTGCTGTGAAGTTGTTTCTCTCTAATATTATTTCGTCGTATCGAAGTAACAGATAATAAGTGGTTTTCCTAATCTGTTAAGATAAAGGCGCGCCAGGAACCGTAGACATACTCTGATCCTTAAATCGGCGTAAACTATTTCGCATCGTTGATGTGGCGTGGTGAATTTGATCTTGGTCGATTCACAGTCAGGACGTCGTGCGAGGATTCCTACCTTTTTCTCTAAGCTATGTATATTTCTTACTCTTGTGCAACTGGTCTCTAACTTGGGCGCGTTGTCCGACATGCTGAAGGTTGTACAATATGATGGTATGTATAACGGGTGTACTACAGACACAAATTTAGAATATAAAATTTTGTTTTAGAAATACTGACTACTCTTCGTTTAAAATGCTCGTTCCTACCCTTAGCGAAAAGGAGAGTTCCCGGTAAAGTTGAAAATGTCTGTAGGAGGCTCCCCGGCATGTGTTTTATAACTTGAGTTGCGAGACGGAATTTTTTTGGATTTTAGGGTCGGGTAAGTACAACCCGGAAAGAAGTACGACACGTTTCTTTTTTCGTTGGAGCAATGTAGTCTATAGAATGGTACTGAGCTCGTACCGTAGTACGCGTGCCAGACACCGTACTGGAGTGGTTTGTCTTTCTTATACCTGTGTTCTACACACCGTTTACATAAATCAAAGGATAGTATATTGTCTAAGAAAAAAA